TTTCATTAATTGCTTGTAACGTTCCAATGAATGATTATCAATGTTGGACATACTCTAAAGTAGCTGTGTCCATTTAAAACCCAATTTAAAGATCTCATATTTATCATCAGATACACTGATTAGATCAAAAGGTGAGAGCATGTATTTTCCTAACACAAATATTACAGAATAAGATCCCTCTCTTCCCCAAAAAAGATTCGCCACAGACTGGCCGATCCATTATACAACCTGTAAATTCCTTCCCTCATTGAAAAGGCTCTTTTTATGGGCATAGTTAACAAGCGCCAAATTGCGAAGTGGCAGCTTTGCTGGTCTGACGTTTTCACAATGCAAGAACAGTATGATCTGGAATCTACACAAAGCTTTAGCCAGGCAGTCAGCTGACGCTCACTGCACACAAGAGAAAGACAGAAATAAGAGAAATTAAACTTCGTATATGTGTAAGGCAGGTATCTACTACCTAAAATTAAAATAGGTCAAAAGCACACGTTCCAAATACAAGTAATGGAAGTATTTGTGTTGTTAAGTATCAATACAAAAGTAGGCTTTCCCCGGACTAGGTTTCTCTCATTCTTGGAACTTTCCTTGCAAAGGGCTTTAATCCGTTCAAAAAACCAAGCCGTCACCCCGGAGCAGCTACCTAAGTAACTTTTACAAAAGGTCAAAGCGGTGCCTTTCAAGGTTTCTCCTCCGTTCACAGTAACTCACTTTTCCACCCACAGAACGTTCCAGGGACGTACGGACGGGGACGAAACAAAACTTGGCGGGGTTGCTAAAAATAGGCTTTCAACTTTCTTTTCAAACACACACGCCGATTTTCACCTTCTTCGCTCCGCGGCCCCACATGTTGCTTCCCTCTCTCCCAGAGGGCCCCGCGAGACCTCGCTTCAACCCCCAGAACGCACCCACCTGATTACCCTGTCCTTCGCAGACTCCGCCCCGCCCCCCGCACTCGCGCCCCCTCCCCCGCCCTGCTCCGGTTTGCCTCTTTGGGGGATCCATATGGGACACTTTCCCCTTCCTCTGATCCTCACGCCGCACCGGAGAAGTCTCGCTTTTCCACAGTCAACGTTCCCCTACTCCAGCCCTCACCTCCCACAGCTCCCTAAACTGGGAGAGCGCAGAAGTGGAGCCGCAGGCCTACTCGACACCAGGTGCTGTGTCAGCCTATCTGCCGGTGCAGCGGCGTGTTCGGCCTGGAAAGTCACATGGCGGTGGGACCGGCCGGCGCCTCCACACTCCTGTTCTTTCGGGGCAGGACGAGATTACCGAGCCCACTTACCTCCACGAAGAGCAACATATCTTCCCCCAGTTGGCCCAATTGTTCTCGCCGCTGCTACTCCAACTGGCTTACAGGCCCGAGCCCCAAACGCTAGGATAAGGACACTCTTCTGTCCCCTCCACCCGGCAGTGAACCCGACTCCTCCCCCGCCGTCAGCCGCTGCGGCCTGACCCGCCCAGTCCCACCTCCCTTAAAGCAGCAACTGTTTCCGGTTCAAAAAAGCAAATGCTTCCGGGATTAGAGAAAACCCTTGGCGCGCTCAATTTTTGCACCACATTTTCAACCCCAGTGTGGAATATACTATCATGTGTTCTAGTGAGAGGAGGGAAGCGATCGTAGAAGGCACTATTTTGTGATATCGGGTTGTGTGAAAATCTTACTGTATTCCATCCATTGCCAAACGGATAGCTTCCACGGCCAAAATCTCGCAGTTTTCATAGCTCAAAATCTAGATCTGATAAAAAGCCGACCTTATGTGAAGTGTTCTGGGTTTTTTCTTTCCTTTATTTTGTGTGTGCGTGCGAAGTGATGTGAAGGAACGCCCAACTCTGCCGAAAAGGTGGTGGCTCAGTAAAAAAGTAGGGAAGAAAAATTCTTTTAAGGAGCCTAATGGCAAATATGTTAATAGTAGCTGCACTGTAACATGCTTACTATGTTTTGGGGACTATTCTTAGTATTTTACGTGAATTCATCTTAAAACTATCATATGCAATAAATACTATTATCCCCATTTTACAGTTAAAGAAGCCCTCTAGGAAGGCAGGTTTCTGTTAGAGGCGCCTTTAAAGAACTTTGCCTATGTTAGCTGGAATCGGGTATCCACGTTTCTGCTTAATATGCTGCTACTTTATAATGGTCTGGATAACCTCTTCTCGATGTAACTGGAATATAGTAAAAACAAAAAATATCTTTATAGAGTTTAAAATTAAAGTGAGCGTGTTAGTCAAGCAGTGAGACAGAAGGCTACTCCACAGGCAGCGGAGCCAAAGCAAAATTTTTAAAAATTATCTTTATAATTTTCTGTTAGACGATCCAAATTCCTTATTATGTTTAAAAATACCTAGTAGAATTTATCCCTCCCTTATCAATCCCACTTCTATATCCTAGTTCAGGTACTCATTTTTTTAAATAGTCATGTCTTGATCTTTTCCCGTGGATTTTTTTCTTATTTTATTAAATTATAAAATCTCCCCAAAGTGAAAGTTTCATTTTGACCAAACTGCTGTTACTTGCTTTCAAGGCCATTCTGATCCCATGTAATTTCCCTTACTTTACCTCAAATGAATCTCCTTTTTCACTTAGATCCCAAATTAATTCACTCATCAAATTGCTGATATTTATGTATCATAATCTTCCTAATCTGATCATCATCTGATCACTCAACATTATTTTGTCTCAAACCAATCTCCTCACTTTCCCCCTGAAATACAAGCTCAGCACTCACCTCCAAAGCCATGGCTCAAAGTGTCTTCCATGTATGGAAAGCCTTCATCTGTCAATCAACCCTCTCTCTCCACAACATTTTCCCAAAGACTCTGCTCCGCACAGATCTCTTTTTCATGTCCCTTGTTAGCACTTGAGTATTATATTCTATCCTAAGTTATTTTCTTTTTTTGTTGTTTGTTTCTTAGTTTCTTCACAGATACCCTATCATATTCCTCACAGTCTAGGATAATGGTGGTCACATAGTAATGTCAACAAGTGCTTATCAAATTGAAGGGAAGGAGAGAGTAGTAAATTTGCTTTAAAAAATCTTCATTTCCAGTTGCTGATGAATTCCATGCTGCATAAAAAATATGAGAGAGAGCACATTAATGCTAAATTAGTTTAGTTGACAAGATGTTGGCTGCTTTGTGAATGTCTATTGGAGTAAGCAATGTAAAGAAATCAAGAGACATAAAATCAAGAGATGTAATGTAATATTATTACCAACCAAATATTTAAATTAATTGAAAATGACAAGAAATGCTAGATAATGATGAATATTTTAATCAAACTTCACATGTATAAAAATAAGTAATTTTCTTTCATTGTGATTCTTTCAGAAAACATGAACTTGCCTGAATAAATACACTTAATTGTGGTTCATAGAAAAGAAATGAGTAATATTTTATGGTTAGGGGCAGGGTGGACAGTCTAACCATACCATACAAGAAATTATTCTGGGGCTTAGAAAAGTTTACATAAGGAAAGGAACCTCAAACAAAATAGATATCCAATTTAGATTATTTCTTTGGAGAAACTGAGAAAGAATACACCAAATGTTAGAAAAAGAACACTAAGTGTAGCATCTGGTTTTTAGTTCACCAACTGGTAGAGACAAATAATACACTTCAATGAGATAAGTAATAAAACTTTACAAAATGATTTGGGAAAACAGAGGAGAAAGTAACTTAGATAACAGGACCTTAAAGAGAAAGAAAGATGTCTAATTTAGTCTCTGTATAGTGATATTCTTTAAAAAACAATTACTTTATGATCCTCTGTCTCTGCAACATATCAGTTGTTTAAACTTCACAAGTTTACAACAAGGACTCAACACTGGACTAAATTTACAATAAGTTTAAAGACTCAACATAGAAAGTTTTTGTAGAGAAATTAAGTTATACATCCACAACTTGTATAAAATCTAAACCTACAAAATTACATTATATAGTTTATGAATACATACACCTATAGTAAAACTACATAAACATAGACCAGATGTAAATTCATCAAATTCATGATAGTCATTGCCTGTAACAAGGAACAGAAGGGAAGGAAGAAGTCTGGGGAGAACAGCAAAAGGTTCTTCAACTTTATCTCTTATGCTCTCTTTTATTTAAAAATACCTGAAGCAGATATGACAAAATGTTATTATTTGTTCATTCTAGGTAATAGGCACACAGCTACATGACATACCACTTTATGTACTTTTTCACTTTTTTAAATTAAAAAATAAAAAAGCTACATGGCCAACAAAACCACCCTCTCCTTTAATTTCTCCAGCCTCCCAAATTCTTTCACGTCCTCTTCAATCAAAGGAGCTGCCCGAAGTACTGCTCTTTCAGTTAGAAAGTGCACTCTAGCATTCCCTCCCATTTCTGGAGCCAATTAAGGAACTTCAAAGCCTTGTTCAGTCAGGTTCTTTGGAAAAAAAAATCAGGTACCTAGGCAGTACAAAGAGTATGAGCATCATTCAAATAATATCTTCTTCTAAGTTAATACATGTCAGGAAAAGTTGAGGGGCAGCTGAGAAACTTGTAACACAATTATTCCATTACAGGCTTAAAAATTCTTAAGCAAAATTTCAAGAATAGAGAAGAACCAGGAGTTACATTTGATAGACTGGATCTTGAATTCTAACATCTAGATTTTAAGTTCATTTAAGCAGGGATATGTCTTCTATTTCTTTTATCGTTCCCGTTGTCTATTCTTTTTTTACCCACCCTCCCCCCTTCACCCTTCTACCATCACAGAATATAGAATGTCTAGTTCTCTGCATGTAATAAGCACTCTGTAAACGTTTGAGTCAGTGATAATGTCACAATGGGTCTATTATGACATCACCATAACCAAAACACTATGCTTAGCAAAAGATTAGTGGCAGGGTAAATCACAACATCTGAGATCAGGAACGACCTCTCCTAGCTTCCTCGTGGACAGGTTTATCAGCATTTGCCTATATTCTGTGGGGAAAGAGAAGAAATAAAAGAAAATCACTCAACTTTTCAAAATAATGATCAAAATGAGAAATGAGATAGACAATGAATCTGATTCAGAAAATGAAGTTGTGGATTACACCATCTTGTCCAGAAAAGACCTTGATAGATTAGAGGCCCCTAGACTCGAGATCCCTGTCTCAGTACAGCAAGTCATCTCTAAGATTCAGCAAGCGCAGCTCTATCGAGCCAGACAGGTAGGTAGTTCATGAGAACTTTACAGGTGGTACAGCTTTTTTTTTTTTACTTTCCAATGACCAGCCACATTTTTTTAGAACTCATTTTATTTGCACAATATTTGACTATGTTTGAGGTAACTTTGAGTTCAAATGACAATTTCACCTGAGTCTATGGGTAAACAAGCTCCAATTTTATATTAATCTCTTTCGCTTTCATGTCAGAATTAATCAAGCTTTTAAACAAATCACATGTGCTATTGAATAATTAAGATGCATAGACAAATTAAAATTTATAGCTAATTTTGATACCTAATTTTAGTCAATAGTTGTCCTTTTTTTTTTTTTGGACTGAGCTTTTATCAAATAGCCATTAGCAAAATAAATAGATTGCTTTGAAGTCTAGCTCCTTTTATTTCCCCTGAGCACTGAGTGGAAGAGGGATTTATTGGCCAAGAGAAATCCAAACACTGAATAAAGAGCTTAAATAATATATCAAATAGACCCCAAACAATTAGGGCTATCCTGCATTCTATTCTATCAGGCAATACAACAAAATCAGTCAGATGAATAGAAATTAATTCAGGGTAAGTTCTTTTCCCACATTTAAGGAGTGCTAAATGTTATACTTTCTCATTCTCCACATAGACTTACTCCTGCTCCAGATCTTAACAATTAGCAACAGTAACAGTGTTTGCTTTTAACAACTTCATCAAGGTATAACTGACATACAATAAATTGTGTATCTACAAACTATATAAATTTTGATATCCATAAACACCTGTGATACCTCCATTACAATCAACATAATGAAGTTCCCATCACTCCCAACAGTTTCTTGATGCCCCCTCCATCCCTCCCACACGTCCCTCCTTGTCTCCTGACCCCAATCCACAGCCAATAACCAACATGCTGTTACTATTGATTATTTTGTATTTTAAAACAATTTTATATAAGTGGAATCATACAGTATCTACTTTCTTCTGTCTTCTTTCACTTAGCACAAGTATGTTGACATTTACCATATTATTGCATATATAAATATCAATAGTTCATTTTTTTATTGCTGATTATTTGTCCATGAGATAGGCCCTTGGGTTGTTTTGGGTTTGGGGTTATTACAAACAAAGTTGCTATGAACATTTCACATGACTATGAACATATTCATAACCTATGACCATAAATAAGCTTTTATTTCTTTTTGATAAGTACCTAGGTTTGAAATGTCTGGGTAATGTTATGTAAATAGTCAATTTTTAAAATAACTTTTAAAAGTTTTTTAAAAACTTTTAAAAAGTGGTTATACGATTTTGTATCCTCACAAGCTGTATATGAGATTTTTCAATTACTCCTCATCTTTATCAACACAGTTGTGTCTTCTGAACACAGCATATCTCTCCATTTATTTACATCTAATTTTTCTCAGAAGTGCTTTGCAATTTTCAAAGTTTTTATGTCTTGCATATCTTTTGTGAGATTTATTCCTAAGTATTTCATTTTCCATATTATTGTTTTCTAATTTCCATTCTTAATTGTTCTCAACTAATATAAAGAAATATAGATTTTTGTGCAATAATTTTGTATACTGAAACCCAGTGGTTAGTCCTCATAAATTTTCTTTGTACATTTTTTTAGGTTTTTCTACATATACAATCCTGTCATATACTAATAGAGGCAGTTTTATTTTTTCTTCTATACCTGTGGACATTTAAATTTCATTCTTGACATATTGAGTAGGCCAGGACCTCCTGTATAAATTTGAATAGAAGTAATAAGACATCCTTACTTTATTCTTGATTTTCAGAGAAAGTATTCAGTCTTCCACCATTAAGTATGATAAGAGCTGTATATATTTTGTAATGCTCTTTATCAAGTTGAGGAAATTCCTTTCTTTCCCTAGTTTGCTTTTTTTAAAAATCAGGAATAGATATTGGGTTTTTAAAGTTCTTTAATTGCATATATTGTGATACGACCACCACAATATATCTAGTTAACTTCTATCGCCACACATGATTACAAGTTTTTTTCCTTGTGATGAGATGTTTTAATATTTACTCTCTCAGCAATGTCAAATATTCACTGTAGTATTATGAACTATATTCATGCTGTATAGCATACTCACATGACTTATTAATACTAGGTTTTAAAAATATATTTTATTTATTTATCTTTAGAGGGGAAGGGAAGGAGAGAGGGAGAGAAATATCTGTGTATGGTTGCCTCTCATGCATCCCCTGCCGGGAACTGGCCTACGATCCAGGCATGTGCCCTGACTGGGAATCCAACTGCAATACTCTGGTTCACAGGCTCAATCTACTGAGCTACACCAGCCAGGGCTTAATACTAGGTTTTATCAAAAGCTTCTACTGCATCTAGTGGAATAATTACGTGTTTTTCTCTCTTTGAATCTGTTAACATGATAAATTACATGGATTTATGAATGCTAAATCAACCCTGAATTTTTTAGATAAACCTCATTTACTAATAATGTAGCACACTTTTTATCATCTTTTATTCAATTTGCTAAAATTTTGTTAACAATTTTTGTGTCCATGTTTATAAGCTATATTAGTCTGTATAATTTTCTTTTCTTGTAATGGCATCAGATTAACGCCAGTTTTATAGACTCAAGTAGAATATTCTCTACAATTTTCTGTATGAGTTTATTGAAGAATTGGCATTTCCTTTTATATGTTTGGTAGAAATCACCAGTGCTTCAGTGGGGTAGGGAGGAAACCATCATAACCATTGAGACTTGGGGTTTATTTCATGGAAACACTTTAAACTACAAATTTAATTTTAAAAAATCATAGGGCTATTCAGTTTATCTTATTTCTTCTTCAGTGAGCTTTCACAATTGTGTCTTTCAAATAATTTGCTCATTTCATCCGACTGTTGAGTTTACTGGTCTAAAGATGTTCATAAAAATCTCTTGCTAACCCCTCACTATCTGCAGAATCTTTAATAGTATCACCTCTCATTTCTGATATTAGTAATTTGTCTTTTTTCTCTCTTTCTGTCTCTTTCTTTGCTTATCAGTATAAAGGTTTATCAGTTTCTTTCTCTAATTATTAGTCTATAGGTTTATCAATTTTATTGATCTTCTCAAAGAATCAATTTTTTATTTCACCAATTTTTCTCTAATTGCTTTTCTGTTTTCTGTTTTACTGATTTCCACATTTATCTTTATTATTTCATTTACACTTTTTACTTTGGGTATAATTTGCTCTTCTTTTTCTAACTTATTTTTTAATTTAAATCACTTTTAATTTTCAATTACAGTTAACATACAATATTATATTAGTTTCATGTATACAACCCAGTGATTAGACATTATATAACTTACTAAGTGATCATCTTCATAAGTCTCATACATGACTGACACCATACATAGTTATCAGAATATTATTGACTATATTCCCCATGCGGTCCTTTCTGTAACAACCAATTTGTACTTCTTAATCCCTTCACCTTTTTCACCCATCCCCTAACCACCCTCCCATCTGGCAACCATCAAAATGTTCTCTGTATGTATGAGCCTGTTACTACTATGCTTTTTAAATTTATTATTTATTTTTAGATTTAATTGTTGATATATGCATCTATTGCCATTATATTGTTCATTTTTAAAAAGCTTTTATTAATTTATTTATCTTTAGAGGGGAAGGAGAGAGGGAGAGAAACATCAATGTATGGTTGCCTTTCGTGCGCCCCCTGCTGGGAACTGGCTTGCTGGGAACTAGCTTGCAGGGAACTGGCCTGCAACCCAGGCATGTGCCCTGACTGGGAATCGAACCGTATTCCTCTGGTTCACAGGCCTGTGCTCAATTCACTGAGCTACACCAGCCAGGGCTAGATTGTTCATTTTTAAAATATTTTTCTTCTTCTTAAAGAAGATCCTTTGAAAAGGATCTTAAATGTAATATTGGTTTGGCGGTGATAAACTTCTTCAGCTTTTTCTTATCTGGGAAGCTCTTTATATGTCCCTCAATTCTAAATGATAGTTTTGCTGGGTAGAGTAATCTTGGTTTTAGGTCTTTGCTTTGCTTTTTATCACTTTGAATATTTCTTGCAAATCTCTTCTCTGCAAAGTTTCTGGTGAGAAATCAGCAGACAGTCTTAATGAGATCTCTCTTGTAGGTAAATAAGTAACTAACTCCTTCTCTCTTACTTCCTTTAAGATCTTCTCTTCAGCCCTAGATGGTGTTGCTCAGTGGATGGAGCACTGGCTTGCAAACTGAAAGGTCACTGGTTTGATTCCCACTTAAGGTACATGCCTCAGTAGCAGGCCAGGTCCCCAGTTGGGAGTATGCGAGAGGCAACCTTTTGATGTCTCTCTTACATTGATGTTTCTCTCCCACTCTTTTTCCCTCCCCTCCCCTTTCTCTAAAAGCAAATAAATAAAATATTTTTTAAAAAAATAAAATCTCTTAAAAATAAAAAAAAGGTCCTCTCTTTGTCTTTGATCTTTGGCATTTTAATGATGATGTGTCTTGGTGTGGTCCTCTCTGGTTCAGCTTCTTTGGGTCTCTTTGTGCTTCTTAGACTTGAATGTCTATTAGTTTTTCCAGGTTAGGGAAGTTTTCTGTTATTAAATTTTTTTCAAATAGGTTTTTTTTAACTTTGCCCTTGTAGCTGGGTGTTTTATTTATTTATATTTTTTAATAAATTTTTTTATTGTGCTATTACAGTTGTTGCATTCCCTCCTTCATTCCCTTCCATCCTGCACACCCCCTCCCACCCACATTTCCCCCCTTTAATTCATGTTCATGTGTCATAAGTTCTTTAGCTTCTACATCTCCCATACTATTCTTGCCCTCCCCCTGTCTATTTTCTACCTACCATCTATTTTACTTATTCTCTATACCTTTTCTCCCTCTCTACTCCTCCCACTCCCCTGCTGATAACCCTCCATGTGATCTCCATTTCTGTAGTTCTGTAATTCTGTAGTTCTGTAATTGTTTCCTTAGTTTGTTTTTGTTTTTGTTTTTATTTTAGGTGTGTTTGTTACTGATTGTGAG